CAAAGGGATTAAAGAATGCACAATGGAACGAATGATTTTGTAAAAGATTGAACGATAACTGAGCAAATGAATGAAAATAAATGAAATAATCATGTTAAATATATATAACGGATATTAATTAAGGTAGCAACAAAAACATAACGTCATTCCGAATAAAAAAGCTGAAAATATCTCAACAAAACAAAACAAAACTGCCCAAAAAACAAAAAAATTCATATAGCGCAACATTATGTAGCCAGTTTCAATAAAAAAAACTCAACAGTCCCATAAACATAGTTCCTGACACAAAAAATACTAGAAAAAAAACATTTGGAGACAAAAATATTTTGATTAAAAATTTATTCAACGCGGGCCAGTTTTAAGCATTGCATGGCTACCTAGCATAGCAAGAATTCCACTATACCATTACCACTAATAAATCAAGAGTTGTAATAACATCGCTGTAACATCTCAGCAGTAACGGTAGTAGCAGCTGTTGAAGCAGTAGTAAGGACAGAATTATTAATAAATATAGTGGTAGTAGCAGAAGTAGCTGTCAAAGTAGTAGTAGCCACAAAAGTAGTAGTAGCAGCAGTAGCAGCAGTAGTAGTAATAGTTGTAGTAGCAGTAGTAGCAGCATTAGCAGTAGTAGTAGTAGTGGTCGATAGTAGTAGTAGTAGTAGCAACATGGCCTCTGAATATAGCTCAATAAAGGCGTTCCAATGGTTTATAATACAATACATAACACAGCTGGAAATATTTTTCAAGCTTAATTATATTTTACTAAAATAAGGCATTTGTTTAACGTATAATTTTACAATACAACCAATCTAACTGTTTCATATTGTTTAAATTATTATTATTGTTAATATTATTATTATTTTTATTATTCTAATTGACAACAACAACAACAAAAGTATCACCACCTCCACCTCCACCAACAAAAAGATTTCAGCCCCCACCATCATCATCATCGTCGTCGTCACCATCATCATCATCATCGTCGTCGTCGTTGTCATCATCAAGAATGACGTCATCAATTATGAAACCTAATACAAACATTCCTGCAGAAGAATAAGTAACAGCAG